TGTTTTGCAGAATAAATCTGTAGTTCATTTTGTCTATATCTCTTGCATGAATTTCTTGCATAACTTTTATGGCTCTTCCAGCACAAATATTGCAGACCTTGTTAACAGATTTTGCTGCATAATGGAAAAGTACAACGTGAATAAATGTAACTTTATTAAATAAAGATATTCACATGTTAAAAATTTAATTGCGTCAGTTGCCCATTTTAAAATACCTCAAACTAATTAAATTCAAAAACACATTAGAAATTATTGCAAGTTTTTTAAAAGAAATATCTTTAAATTTAACAATATTGTTATAAAAAAAGTTATAAATTAAATTTTAATGGTTATTAAAAAAAAAATTCCTTATTTTAAAATCTTATACTTATTTAAACTTAATTTTTTTTCTTTAAAACATTCTTTTTATGGTTATTTTTTTAAAATGAAGGGACACTTTTTTATGGTTTATTTTTTTAGGGGATTTAAGTGTACTTACTGCACAATTAGATTGGGTTTTCCCCTTTTTAAAAAAACTTTTGCGCTAATTGGCTTTTGATCAAATAAAAATTGTAATTAAACAAAGATTACTGCTTTTAGGCTTTGTTTGTTTTTTTTATTTCTATTTAAAATATTTTATTTTAATGTAACGTAAAACCTAATGTATTTTTACTAATTCTTACTAAATCCAAAATAAAGTATTACTTTTGTTTTTAAAATAAAATAAATATAAGTTGTGCTTTTAAAGAGTTTATTTATTGATCTCAATATCTTTATTTGGTTTAAAGTTTGGTTCATTTTATAAAAAATGAACGGCAAAGGGAAAACCCAAACATAACATTTAAACTCGAGTTTGAAAGAATTTTTTTGTATAGGCATCATTTATTAAACACAAAAGCGCATTATTCAGACCAGTATCTAGAACTGGAACTTACCTGAAACTTAACTGAAATTAAAATGAAGTTATATATAATGCGAACATTTTAAAGTAACTTGAATTTTAACTAGTAACTAAAAAAAATTGTAAAACAGAGTGTTTTGAAATTTTTAAAAGAATTTTAATTAAATTTAATCAAATAAATTACTAAAACTACCAATAATAATAAAGTTAATTTAAATTTAATAAAATAAATAGTATAATAGAAAAAAGGATATCTATCTGTTTTTTTATCTTCTAAAAAAATATTCCACAAATGTTTTTTTACAACAATTAATTACAGTTTAATGTTTTCCGCATAATCTGTTTTAAAAGACTGTGTAAAATAAACTTATTGAAAAAAGTTTTTGCGTAACGTAAATTGCAAAACGCGTACGTGAAATCGTGAATACGTACGTAAAATTCAAATTGGGAAACGCTTCTTAAAAAGGCTTGATATTGGATCTCTGAATTCCTTATATTCTGCTGAGCTCCTGTGACCAAAATCTTTTTAAGGTCTTCACAGCTGAAGTTGAAGTTATTACTTGTTTTAAATTTTTAAAATCATGTTCTGAGTATTGCATGTCAGAAAACCAAATATCAGACCAAGTTGGTGCAATGAAGTTGCAAATCAAGCGCAATTGATTATTATCCAATTCAGTTAAAATAAAGAAGAAGGGAATTGATTGCTCTTGAATTCTATCTGGCATTAAGTACGATGGTAGACTTTTAAAGTTTAAATCTGGAAAGTTGCCATGCATCTTTGGTTAAGAATTTCATTTATAGTATGTTTCTAATTGTGTCCAATACATGATGCTGACAACTAATAAATTGAAATAGTTCAAGATTTTTTTTTTCAAATTCTTTTTGCAGTTGAATTACAACTCCATTTCTACTCCCAGTATTCACACTTCAGGTATTATAACTTTAATACTACTCCATAGTTGAAATTTATCCAACACTTCAACTATTCCACTGTAAATACTAATAGCTTTCCCATCATCTAGTTTTAAAATGGCTAGTTTCACCTCCTTTTCTGCATTTTTTAAAATCAAGCCTTAGATGGATGTACTTTAACAATTTTTGATGTACAATAACCAACTTGACCATTAGTATTCACTTGTAAGAAATAAAATACTTTGTCTTCGTTGCTAAGCAAGTTACTAATTACTTTATATCAAATAAATAATTTCTTCAAGAGATTGTTTAGATTTTTGAACTGAATGAGAATTTTGAAATTAATGAGAATTTTGAAACTAATGAGAATTTTGAAATTAATGATAATTTTGAAATTAATGAGAATTTCTACTTTTTTTATTATAAACCTTTCATTTATTTTTGGTAAACTAAGCTTGAGCCATAAATCAGATAATTCTGCGCCAACTTTTTTACATCTCGAATAAACTGACTTCTCTAAATTTGATAAGCAAATAAACCAACCAATAACATAATAAGCTTTAAGCATTTTATTGAAATTATCAAGTGGCTCTAAAACTTTGGGTGTGTGACATTTTGTTAATTTTGATTTCTCAAAGTGGACTAGATTTAGAGATTTTTCAGTTATCTGCAGGCTTATTCTTGACATTTCTAAAATATAAAGTATTT